AGCAATACTGTACCCAGCTAGATTTAGCTTTTATGCGAAAAGTACGTTTACACATAGCTTCGTTTCTTTTATATTCATTAAAATTCAAAAGAGTTAGATTAGATTTAAACTTTTTAAAAGATTTTTTCCTTAAAATTAAAGCAGCTAGGCACTCCTCATCCCATCACATTGGAACTTTTACAGGTTTAGTTGAATGTTTAATTGGTATGCAAAATTTGTTCGCTGCATTTGTAATAGAATCTAATAAGAATAAAATCATCTCGATAGCATTATTAATATCTGGCTTCACTGTGAGCGCTTCCTCTATGGTTTTAAGCCTGAATCTATTTTAATATTATTAATAGACATTCGAATAGGAAAGTGACCGGATCCACATGTATCTTGTATAAGTCCAGTAAAAAGTTGAGCATAAATTGGAAGATAAAATGGTGAGATCTACAACAGATTTGGCATGACCTGGAGGAGTAGCCCTAGTAGCCGATCCATCGTTTACGATAATTAAATGAGGAAAAGAATCCAAGGCTTCCACTAATATATTACCTTCTGAAGAACAGGCGTTTGATCCCCATAATCCGTGGTGCGCATTAAAATCCCCAGAAATAATACAGTCATTGTTAATCTGTGATAAAAGGTTGACATACTCTTGTACTGATACTTTTGTTTTTACTGGTCGGTATAAACTTAAAATCGTATACTTTTTCTTGTCAATACTAACGTTTACGCCACAAACTTCCAAGTTTTGATTGAAATTATTAACAAATTAAATAGATTCGCAATTGATGTTATTTGATATAAGTATAACTATTCCACCGTAGTCTTTAGCTCTACTTTTACTTACTATATTAAAATTACTAAAACAAACATTATCTGAGGGGTTGGACCAAGTTTCCGATAAAACTGCCATATCAAAATGTTTTTCTAGAAGTAATTGATATAAAGAATATTCCACTGAATAATTTTAATACCTTTGATAGCCATGCATTTTAAGTAAAAATGTTGTTAACAACTTCTTTAATTTTGTTCTCAAATTCAATGTCATTGACTTTAAGATTATGAGCCATATTTGTAGAAGCATTAACAAAATCTCGAAAGCTTTATTTAATAACATTTTTAAGGGTAACACTTAGCTGAGTGATAAATTTACTAAATTCATCTACAGGTTCAGGTTGTCCGAATTGGAATATGGAACCAGCACAGAAACTAGTCGGGAACTCTATACGAATAGGAGGGAAATTAATAGTAATGTCGCTATTTTTTCTTTTTTTGGGAGGGCTAACTACCGGAGTTGTATGACGTTTGGGAATATCGTTATTCTTATGAACTGTACCAGAATTGAACTGACGAGTAGAATCAAATTTTAGTGGGGAAAATTCCGTGTCAGAGTTGATTAACGGTGCAAATCTATTCTTCTGAACTAGGCTCGAATAACCTGGATTAGCAGATATTTTCTGACCTTCCTTAAACGAAATCTTCAAGTTAGCCATAGTTTCTTTCGTTTTCATCTGCTTAAGATATTCAGGACATTCCCTGAAAATTGATTCGTGACCACTATTTTGACAATGCACGCAAAAAGTATTACATTTTTGAGGACAATCTTTATTTTCTTCATTCCCACATTTTTGCACCTTTTTTTTATTTACATTGAGTAGCCGAATGATCATAACGCAAACACTGGTAACATTGCATGACCAGACTGACAAATACCTCGACCGGGCATCTAACTTTATTAATGTAGATGAATTGAGGAATTAATTTGCCCGCAAAAGTAACAATAATCATCTGTCTTGGGACTCTCTCCGATATACCGTCTTTTTGTATTAATCTAGTAATTCTTTGGACTTTTTAACTATTACATTCGATTTTATAATATTTAGGAGTTTATTTTCACATATAGTAGTGTCAACAGCGCGAACTAAACCTCTTTTTTCTGTCAAATAGTTAGGTATAAATACAATTAAATTATTTTTTTCAAACAAAGATTCTTCTACCAGCCTATTTGCAACCAGTTCCGAATCTACTTCGATTTTAATTCTATTCCTGCCAACACTAACAATTTCAGTTATATTTTTATCGTACTCAGCGAGAGAACTTAATTTTTCTCCTATTTTCATAGGATGAAGACGACCTAAATTTAAATCAGTATGTTAAACAAAAATAAAAGGTATCAGTATGGCTAAATAGATTTTTAGTATTTAAAACCTGACTTGATTGTTTATATTGTTGAGTTGTAGACGGCAAGTTTTTATTGCCATCATTAATGGAATGGATTTAATATTGGAATTATTAATAATAGAATCATCGGAATTCAAAACATTTGGAGTATTATTACAATTATTGACCTCGGAAAAAACAATATCTTCGACGTGAATATTACTTAACATGTCGTTATCAACTTGATCCTGTAGAGGTGGGTCTTTGCCACCAACACCATTTTTACCCTGGGACATCTCAGGGATAAGTATTTATCAAAAATATGTAGGAAATATTAATACTTACAGTACAAATGCTAAACCAATAACTTAAAATTAACGTACACCTAATTAAAACCTAAATAAATTCGATTGAATACGAAACACATTCACACACCGGTCCACACTATACGAAGGTTCAAACGAAACTGAAGATGTCTTTTAAATGTATATGTACAGACGGATGATGAGAATTCTATGGATACAAAAAGTTACCAATGGTGAGGTACTTCGGCGCATGAGTTAACAAAAAGAATTGTTCAGCATAATCAAAGAGGAAAAAATACAATGCTTGAATCATGTGTTGAGAGGTGAACGATACGAATTACTTCAAATAATTTTGGAAGGTAAAGTGGAAGTAAACTAAAAGATCAGTTGGAAGACGCCAGAACTCTGAAAGACCTGAGGAGATGGTTTGACCGCTCATCCACAGAAATCTTTCGTGCAGCAGTTTTCAAAGCTACAATTGCCATTTGGATCGCAAACCTTTGAAAGGATATGGCGCAATAAGAAATATATCCATATTTATTGAACAGATGCCACACGAGGGAAACAAGGTCATAAAAAAAGTAATCATGCTCAAATATCTAAAAGTGCCTATAGCACACTTTACCATACCAACAAAACTCATTTAATGTTGTAATTGTAAGTCATATCAACATACAAGTAACAGATGCTATGCCATTATGCCCTTGTGTGAAATGCAATCAAACCGTGAAGTATTCAAACTCTGTTAGACCTCACCCGGCCAACTTCAGAAATTGTATAAAAATCCCATATGGATAAAGACATGAAACGATACCCATAAATAGCGCACCAGAAACATCAGGCAACAGACTGCAAACTCCGTACAAATGATGACGACATTTATGGAAACCATGACGAAAATAACAAAACAAATAGAAACGATACGTCAGTGGACGAATTAGTAACTAATTATGGTTTTTTTGAGTCAATCCATATCAATCGGATTCATATTCAAAAGACGACAACCTTCTACAAGCAGGACTACATTGGAATAAAAAAAAAAGAAGATCCCTTACGTAAGGACATATCCCAGCCCTTTACAGGCTAGAAGCCATAGAAACAAACACAGATTACAACACACGAAGACAGTGGGAGAAGGTCATTCGGCTACTTCACGTAAAAATAGAAGACAGAATCGTGATGCAATGTATATAGTTCGTCAACAGCTCCCAACATCGATATCTGTATACACAGCATAAAGCTACCGTTTGTTAGAACAATACCCAGCGCACGGTATACACGTACAGCAGAATCTATTGTAGTCGACTCGCGGCAGTTTTAGAGAGCTGGTTGTTTAGATTAGTTTGCATATATATTAATCGCGCTACAAGATAAGAATTAGTTTTACGTTTTTCTCTTAAAGGTTAGTGAAGTTACTAGAAGAGAGGAATATATGATAATGTCAAATCTGAATAAAAGAAATAAAAATGTCAACGAAATTTTTTCATGTCGTAATACAAAAGGTGCTTAGTCGACAGAAGATTGTTTCAAAACGAAATGGAAAAATTTCGAGAATATTTTAGACTTTCCAGGGATTTATTTAGAACTGATATATTGGAGGATGCTCCCTTACTAGATCCACTAGTCTTTCATCTTCCCGGGAGAAAATTGAGAAGAAATCACTTAATTACTATAATCATAATAACTATATAAAAATACAATTATAATAATTTCGGTATAGATGTGAGCGTTGTGAACTAAGCTGAACATTTGCGTCCAAATCAAATCGCAATTGATTTCAGCGCACACTGTCGACGTATATGGTATCGCTTTGCAGTGCGCGCAACTAAGCAAAACCTAACAAACCGTTATCATAGAGAACCATTCCTTTGATTTTGACGAACGTGCGCGACGTTCGACTGACTGTGAGTCATGCGTCGCTCACTGTTCTAACAAACCACAGCTTTAGGGAGTAATGGAGAATCTAGAATTATATGGAGCTGAGACTTGAACATTGAAAAAAATGCAATTTAAAAAGAATCGAGGCTTTCGAACTCTGGTTATACCGCAGAGTATTAAAAATATCATGGACTGATAGAATTACAAATAAATAAGTACTGGAGAGGGTTGGTAAAGAAACATAACTAATCACCACTATACAAACCAGAAAACTGGAATACCTAGGCCACGTGATGAGGGGACCAAAATATGGAATTCTGTTGGCCGAAAGAAGAACTCATTGTTGAAGAATCTACGTGATTGGTATCAATGCAGATCGATGGATTTGTTTAGAGCAGCAAGTTCAAAAATAAAAATAGCGATTATGATTGCCACCTCCGTGGGGAGACGGCACTCTAAGAAGAAGAAGGAGAATCTAAAAATGGGCAGGCCTCTAAGGATGTAGTTTGCGTGTGCTAGAACTCATGAAAGTATTCATCATCGGTATTGAGTACGTAAGACTCGTTTGATAAAAATTCATCTGGAAAATCATACACTAATAGTCATGCATATTTTTTTTTCATATTAGACCCCTAAGTAATTATTAAACTACAAATTTTTACTTACCACACACAACGTCCAGGGTACAGTTTTGAAGATACGGAAATATATCAAAACTATCTTTGTTAGTTTCTTTATCCAAAAGATCCACTAAAAGTGCAGCATTAGAATCAAATGTTTCGACAAAGAGATCAAGAATCGAAAAATGAAATGAAGGAGTGAGCATTTTTCTACTTCTTTTCCATTTTGTACCTAAAACAGAAACATATTTGTATAAGTTCAAATACATCAAATAAACAAAAAAATATTATGAGTTCCCTGATATTTCATGATACTTTATTTTAAAAAATACTTAAACTGTCACTTTACACAATTTAAAATTTTGTAAAATTACTTTTAAAACTTTATTTAAAAGTTTTCTTTAGTAACAACATATATTGTTAAGCCAAGCCCTTGTTACGCTGGTGATCGAATCTTTGAGTAGTATCAATGAATATAATCGCATATAGAAGCACACTTTACTATCATTTTTTAGTAAACGTTGTTCGGGAACAGTTCGGAAACTAGATTTTACTTCCGTTCCTGTACGACTAGGCACCACTAATTTGTGATCTCTTCGTAACCATCGCGATCGCAATATCCCTCGTCAACAAATACGGATGTTGAAATACGAATGAGTAAGTTGTGAATGCTTAGCGTTAAATTTTTGCATTTTATAAAATTAGAGATCAAATCCTAATCATGCACCATATTTTTTTATAGAAAATAAAATATTGTTTTAACTTTAATACTTTTTAATAACTGAATCTTTTTAGAACTATAAACAAAATCGTAATTAAAGTTTTTAATGTAAATGTGTAGAAATCTACAAATAATATAAAGTTTATACAATCGCCATCTTTTGGACATTTTTTAAGTATACTAACCATGACAAATTTTCCCATTTAAGAAGTGGTTTATATGCATTTATATCCGTTGGTAACATGTTCGAAGAAGCTACCGCTGTCTGAATAATTCCAAGGTGTTTTAGCGGCGCCGATATAGTACTAGGCTCTGGAAGTATTTTACGAAATATATATTAAGAGAACTTACAATCTAAATAAGTCAATCAAAAATATACATTTGTACGGTTAAGTAAATAGATGTTATAAATTAGTTGTGTTTCTAGTGTTAGCGTGAAAATACTGCAAATAAATAAAAATAAACATATTTAAATAAACTTTGTGAAAAATGGCAACAAGAATTGGTGATTTAAAAGTGACCGATTTACGACGTGAACTTGAAGATAGAAAAGTAAATTATGTTGGAAAAAGGTTGAATTAGTCCAACGGCTGAAGAACGGTCTGGTAGAAGAGGGTCTTTATCTAGAAATATATAAGTTTAAAAACAAGTATGTTGTTGTGATCTCATCATTTTAAAGAGCGGATAGAAACGACGGTTTTTACTTTTTCAAAATCTATTTTGTAACAGTGTTTTACAGATATAGAATGTTTATAAATACGGTTGTGGATTCATCGGTTTGTCTGTCCTATGTATATTCGTGGGCATAAAAACTCATGATGTTTATATGACGGGCAATGTGATAACAGACCAATAGATCCCGTTATTTACATAAAGGTACCCTACGTAAATGGCTTAACTAACAATATAATCAATATGCTAAGTGGAACTCCCAAAATCAAAATAGCTAAATACAACAGCAGATCCAATTACAGCTTATTCTATTTGACATGTGGTTCTTTGAATTTAATTAAAAATAAAACTTAATCTTACCTGCAGCTGTTAAAAGTCCTTTACCTAACCAATTACCCAAAAATTTATATTCATCAGTTTTATTTAAAATATCTGTTTTGCCCAACACGAATTCCAAAAATGTAGGATTAGACACAACTATAAACTTATAAGTGGCCAATTCAATGGTACATAACCCATTATGTTGATTTAGATATTCTTCCAATTTGCCAAGAATTTCTAAAAATAAATAAGAAGATGGTTAAGTTATGTTATGTTTTTAGTATAAGTATTTAACAAGTGAATTATATAATAGATAAAAGAAAAATAATAAGACTTATTCAGAATCAATTTGTTCTACCACCAACAAAATGGTTTTGCATACTATAATTTGCTATTCATTCTCAGGTTAACGGTACATGGTTAAACTAAATGTAGCCGATACAAGGATTATTATTAAATGTTTGAGAAAACATAGTTAAAAAACTGTTATGTAAACTAGTAACAGGTGATCATCGGTTATACTGCAACTATTTAACGAATAGCGGGATAGTTCTTGAAGGGAAAAAAATTAACAATTAGACTAGGACTGTAGGTATTGTGTAAATTGTTTGTTGAAAATTAAATGAGATGTGTTATATTATTTAAAAGTTATTTATTTTTATTGCAAAGATATATTTTGGACATGTGTGTTATTTATTAAAATTATTTATTTAGAACAGAGAGCATTGTGAGAATGTAGAGAGAAGATAGGCGTTCTATTTTTGATCTAAGTTTGGGTGTGCAATAACTCCAACTTGTAATTATATGTATATTAAGTTAATCACCAAGTTGAATCAATTTTGTTCTGTATTTGGACAGAAAATAAATTATTGTAATGTCAATTAAAATTAAAAAGACTTAAGAGCAAACAAAATCCATTTAAAAAGAAAAACAGACATATTTAATTAAAAAAAAGTGGGTATTTTGTAGCACTTGTATGCAGGAGGAACTAGCAAACAGGAATAGTTTTTTGTTTAATAAATCTCTCAAAATTTATTCCCCTTAAACTGTTATGGTAAACTGTCACCAGTTTATCATTACAGTTTTTTAACTATGTTTTCTCAAACATTTAATAATAATCATTGTATCGGCATCATTTAGTTTATCATATACCGTTGGCCTGAAGATGCATAGAAAATTTTACTATACTAAAGCGGTCGTTGGTGGTAGAATACATTGATGCGAGTAAGCCTTATTCGTATTTGTTTTTACCTATTTGAATTATACTTACACAGACAACATATTCAAAATTTGAATTACATAAATTTACTTAGTTTATCCACAAGGAATCTAAGTTGTATACCATATAAGGCTGTATACCATATATCAAAAAACATTATTAAATATCCTTTATAAAAGGTATATAATTTAAAAACATAATCGGGCTATGTTACACAAAACGTTTTCGGAATCCATATTCCATCATCAGTGTCTAGGTATACATACATGTATTATTTAGTGGCTACATACATGTATACCTAGACACTGATGATGGAATATGGATTTCGAAAACGTTTTGTGTAACACAGCCCGATTGGGGTTTTTAAATTATATACCTTTTATAAAGAAGTTTTAATAAAACAATTTTTTACTTGTACTTGTACTTGTAAAAGTACTCTTGTATATTAGACGCAATGATTTCTTATCGTAAATATTTTTGCTTATTTGATTGGTGCGCTGTATTGGGGAAGGCTTGTCTCAAGAAGTCTCATGGTTGTCAGCCTACAGGGTGCTAGATAATGTTAACTCTGTAACAAAGAGAGAAACTCTGGATTTGGATATGTTTTAGGATATTAAATATTCCATGTGTGGGAAAAGTTATAAACGAAGTAGTGTACAGACAAATAGGAGAAGATATAAAGCTGGTGCTTTATTACAAGCTAAATGGGACGCACTCTTAGAGATGAATAAACGGAATTATCAGAATAAGAATAGGTTTCATCATCTAATTATTACCATAAGCCGCGTACTTAATGTCTTCACAAATCTGCCTACTTTATTGGCCCATTTGTGATAAATGAGGAGAGGGTCGGGAGAAAATTAGTTTGATTTCATAAATCGCTTAAAAACACAAGAAGAGCTATTTTTTATGCAATTATTATTGTGCAGAACTAGCACTTAAGTACTAGAACCAGCGCAAGGATATCTTTATTTGCTTTATCGATTACCGAAGGGTGTCTGATCATATTAATCATGAAGTGGTGATACGTCAATTGAAAGATGTTCCAACAACTATAAAAAACAAATATATTAAGCAGCTAATAAAGCGTAAGACTTTTTTTATTTGCTGTAAATACTACAGCAAAATGAAAAAAGTTACAATTAAATAAAATCCCTATAAATAATTTACGATATGTTGTGATAAAGCTACCATACATGCAACATGGAGAAGTTGCCAGCGATAGTGAATATAATTAATGAATAGACTGGGGAAAGGACTGCAGTCGTTAATGTTACAAAAACGAAGGTATTTATAATCAGAAGATATTTCCATTAGTAGGCACAGTTAAAAATATGCATGTATATACATAACAGATAGAGCTGAGAAATTCAATTCAGTAAATCTTGAGACTTGTAATGTAATGAAATTGAACCATATGAAAAGAAACACGATACATTTCATCTGCACAAGAAATTAAAAGAGGTCGCTGGAAACAAACGAAAACAAGTATCCCAGAGTAAGACAGAAACAGATACAAAATATTAGACATCAATGAACAGTTAAAAGAATGGGAAAACTTCATTTCTGAATTATTTGCAGATGAGAGAGTAGAACACTATACACCGATTGCTATATCAAGTCCATCTATAACAGAAAGTGAGGTTACACGTTCAATACAAACGGAAAAAAATGGAAAAGCACTTGGCCCCTTGAAGTAAGTGCTGAAATACTATAAGTTTTTGGGAGAAAATGGAATTAAAGCTCTGTGTAATCTCTTTAACAGAATTTATGACACTGGGATATTACCAACTGATTGGTTAAAGTCGACATTTGTCACAATACCACTACATCACCGCATGTCCAAAGACATGCAGTGATGAGCGGACAATAAGTCTGATGAGTCACGTTTTGAAGCTCTTCCTGCGAGTAATACACAGCAGAATTCGCACGCTGTTAGAGGACAGAATTAGTAATACTCAATTTGGGTTTAGGAGTGGCTTGAGTACAAGAGAAGCCTTGTTTAGTATACAAGTGCTAGTACAGAAATGAAGAGATATAAATCAAAATGTGTACATTTGTGCAATCGATTTGGAAAAGGCTTTTGACAAAGTCCGACATAATAAAATGCTAGAAATATTGGAAATAGCTGGATTGGACGATAAAGATCTACGAATAATTACAAATCTATACTGGCATCAAGTGGCAAGAGTAAAGGTTGAACAAGAACTGTCGGATGTAATAAATATAAAAAGAGGAGTGAGACAAGGCTGTATATTGTCGCCTTTACTTTTTAACTAATATTCGGAGGAAATATTTAAGGAAGTCTTAATGGAGACAACCGAAGGTATTATTGTGAATGAACTAACCATCAACAATATTAGATATGGCGACGATACCTTAGTGCTTGCTAATTAAACAGACTTGTGATCAGTATGGTTTAAAACTCAACGTTAAGAAAACTAAATATATGATAGTTAGAAAACAAAATTGTATACAGGATGACGGTATAAAAGTCGGAGATGCCACACTGGACAGAGTATAGAAACTCGTGTATGTCGAAAAAGCCCGAGCTGCCTTTGTAAAAATGCGAAACGTACTTTGCAGTCACGATCTTAGCATTGACCTTAGAGTTCGAATGATATCTTTCCTATCCTTCTGTATGGAGTGGAAGCGTGGACTCTAACTGAGGCTATCCTTAAACGCTTGACAGCCTTTGAGATGCGGGCATACAGACGACTACTAAAAATAAGCTGGGTCGACAGAGTTAGAAATGAGGAGGTCCTAGACGGATGAACCAAACAACACAACTGGTCAGTATAATAAAGAAACGCAAGCTGGAATACTTCGGTCATATTATGAGACACCCTGAAAAATATGATCTTTTACATCTAATCATTCAGGGAAAGATCCAAGGTAATCGTGGTCCTGGTAGAAGAAGAACATCATGGCTGAAAAATCTAAGGCAATGGTATGGAAAATCAACTACATCATTATTTAGAGCTGCTGTCAATAAAGTCAAGATAGCGAATATGGTAGCCAACATGATATCCAACGATCGATAACGGTCATGTAACTAAAAGAAAAAAAATCTTGAAACTACCAGAATAACAGTAAATAATGGGACAGCGACGGAGACTTCTGCGACTACCGCATTTAATGACTACCACTATTTTAACGGCAAATACTTATAAAGCTTTGTAGCTTTGTAGCTGAATATGATATGTTGACCTATCTCAACCAGCGAGACCTAGCCAGTTAAAATAAGACTACAAAATCCTATAGACACTAGAAATAGGGTATTTTAGAAAGGTATTTAAAATTGGATCGACCATATTACAAATAAAGAAGTCCTACGAATAGCTTCTACGTAAAGGTAGCTACTAAATATCATAAAACAGTCTTATACTTAAGCCATATTTTATGAGATGACAAATGTATTCTTTCGAATGTCATCCTAATGCAGATAATAAAAGGATATCTGTGTATGCTGTAACCAGCACGCTGCATATTTCACGACACCAGAGGAAGAAGAAGATTGCGAGCTTTATAAACAAAGTTATCACTAAAACAAAAATGGTTACCTGTTGTATTTTTTAGTTCCAAGGCATTACCAACTAAAGGTAGTCGAGGTAACTCTGGTATCCAGTGTAGTTTAGATCTAATTCTGTATATACCCATCCACCAATATGAAATCGCAGCTACTATAGCCGCAACAAAAAGAGCTAGTACTATTGCCATATTTGGAAGATTTATAATCTCTCATGCGTTGTGAAATCTAAAATAAAATAAACTAATTATGAAAAGCTTTACAAAAGAAAATTTTGATATCTGGTAAATTCATCTGATGGATCATCAAAATTAATTATATAAATTAAAAAGTGGAAAATTGTGGCTTTAAGTAATTATATTAAAAACCCATCAAAGTATTACCAATAAAAGTTTTGGTGTCAAAATGCTCTAAAAAAATTCAACACGTATATACATCATTCTCTTTAAGAATGGTTGGAAAGTACCAAAGTGTTTTGTTATGTTACTGAGTAATACAAAAATCACTTTCAATAATTTAATTTTATTTACATTATTCATAATGACATTCAGATATAAAGTTTAAAGTAGAAAACAGAAATAAATGTTTCTGAAGTGAATTTCTAGGACGACTATATTGGTTCTTGACTTTAAGGAACTAACTTAAACTTAAAGATGTCTTACAGAAAAACAACACGAAATGATAAGTTCCTTATTCACCCTTCCACCCTTCCACCCACAATCGCTAAGCAATGAAATTACATCAAAAAACAAGAAGTAAAAATCATAAGATTTTTTAGTTTTTACAATCAAAATTCAGATTATTGCCAAAATGTGTGCCTTCTACAACTTGTACAGCAAAACAGACGGTAAATGGATCGCCATGGGGAATCTAAAATATGCATTTTATGACATATCGATTTACCTAGACAAGTACCTGTCGTGAACTAGTTTCTTATACTCAAAGCGAGTTAATAAAGATACATAAAAGACAGTTAAGATTTGATTTAACGTATAGTGCCTCTACCAGTCGCTTGTAGGTATTTCGTCCTAACAGGACTCGTTAGAGCGACTTTGTAAATGAAATGAAATCAGATCTCAGGAGATTATGGCCAGTTAAATTTATGTTTTAGCTAGTAATAAATACAGCCGGTTGATAACAAATTTTTATTATTTAATTTCTCTCAGAATCTTTCTTTCTATTGGGAAATAACAACATAATTCTGACCAAAATGACCAACGACCATATAACGTAAGTGTGATTGTGTCTCGTTTTTTGACTATATATGCATATTGCTTTTAATGAGATGTTTAGCATGTTTGTCATTTTTTGTATATTTTTTAAACCAATCTTCACGCATGTAAAATATCGAGTTTTCCTTGTCCATGGAAAAAAGATAATGTGGCGCCAGTTATTTTTTATTTTAATTTAGTACCAAAAGATTTAAAATGGAACTTGGCGGTATTTATTGCTAATTGAAGTTTTTCTGTTAAGCTGGAAATTATGGATGTAAAAACATTTTATGGAAATAAAACAAATTGTTCACTGAAACTTTAACCAATCTAATTGATGATCTAAATGAGAAGCAGTTTGATTCTGCAGACATATAGATTTATCCTCCAGCGGAAGATTTCATCAAAAATTCTGAATGCCCCAGCTGAGGTAACTCGTATTTCACAATGTGAGACACAAGAGGCTAAAGATATGTTCTCGACGAGCGATGATTAACCTCTAATAAATGTTGCTCACTTTAATAAAAAAGGTTAATCAAATAGATAAAATAATTGGAAAAGCGATGACTTGCCCCAAGATAAATATCAAGAAAATATCTCAATTTTTAATGGAAATAATGTTTACTGTGGAAATGCAATCGATTTCTTTACACTTTTTTGTGTGATAATTTCCTTAAATGCATAATACATGAGACTATAAAATATGCCCGACATAAAAATGTAAACACATCATTTGAGGTTTCGATTGAAGATAGTGTTGCCCAAAATTGGTCTTAGTCTTGCAGTCTTGGTCTTGTTCTTGTGCTTGCGTTTTCGCAAGACCAAGACCAAGACCGCCTAATTTTAGCAAGACCAAGACCAAGACTGACCGTGCAAGATTTAAGCAAGAAGAAGACTAAGCCTGCGAGACTCTTGTGTCTTGCAGTTAGGAGTGAGTGTCGTTTTAGTGGGCATAGTAGTTCGGGTATATGCTTATAAACTTTATGAGAAGCAAAAAAATACGTAACAAAAATTTGGAAAACTAGGCTTTTGCGCATTACGAACAATACCATAAACATACATACCGAATAAAAATATTTATTAAGAGAACACTTGATACATTTAACACATGCTCAGAGGTCATAATTACAAAATACATCGAGCAAAAAGATAAAAGAGGGAATCTAATCGTTAGGAAAAGGAGACCAAAAAAGTGGCCTCTGATGGCGGGCATATCCGGAAATGCAAAGGCGCTAAATTTAAATTTTCCAACACTTGTTAACAATAGGCGTAAAATATTTTTCAGACAAGAAAGTTTTAATTAAATATTAACGATAATAGTCTAAAAAGTGACACAATTGGTAAAAAACTTAAATATAAATAAAATTTCATGTGACAGTTGGGACAAACAATAACATAACCAAACTAAATTTGACTTCTTAAACAAGGAAAGAGACTGTCTATCCTTGTTTAAAGTGGCCTCTCAAGATAGCACTTCCTGTCTAACAATATTTTTGTCCCCACTACCTTTACATTCCCTCTTTTATCTTTTTGCTCGATGACAAAATATAAAGTATAAAATATTGTTTACATTCTTTACCAGCGGACGACTTCTTCTCTCTGAAATTAATTGTCCACATTTTAAGAATAGCCGACTAATATAATTTAGTTAGGATTAATCTAAATAAACAAATCTTATCGGCCTAAGACAAAACATCGTTTCTGTTGACTGTGCGATGAGATCATTCGGTTAAACAAAATTTGCTGAAAATGCGCGGCTAATATTCAAAAGCAACGATACAAATAATTAATAACAGATAATGTCGGCTACCCTGTAAACAAAATACCGAAAGATTTAAAGTAACGAAGTAACGATATAAATGTAATTCTGGGTTTGTTATTCGGTATTCGGTACTTATTGTATTTGATAGTAATGAGCATAAAGTAACTAGTAGTTACTTTTTCGACATCGTTAAACTTTATTCCCAATTGAGCTTTTTTTCGAGTCCAATGTAATAACTATTTTTCATCTAATCCTTGTTATTCCCGGTGTGACAAGTTTACAATTTGACATGAGGGACGAAGATTTAAATAGTTCTAGTCAGAGTAATAAGAGTTAGAGTTATAGAAATAAAAGCAAATTTAATGAGTTTTTCGAAATAACTCATGAATTCCAAATTGCTTTGTGTAAATTGTGCCAACATAGAAAGATTAAAATCAAAATGAAAAACAGAAACACGTTAGATTTAAGGTAGCAACTAATTACTTTCCACAAAAATGAATCACAAATATTTCTTCCTCAAAAACTAAAATTCGGTAGAGATATCACAAGCTTTTTATTAACCGCTGGAAAAAGTGGACATGTAAGACAAAATATACTTATTACACAATTAGATACATTATGTACCTACTACTTTAGTTTGGTAAATTATTTGTATGTATTTATAAGTAAGTATCTCCTTAATTTAAAATAACTTCTTTTGATTATTATTCATTTTTTCCTATTCTTAATTTTTTGAAGTTAGTTTTTTATATAAAAGTAGAGCTAAGATTGTTATCAACATTTATTTTGCTTTAATAAGTGAATTATAGTTTGTTATCTTATCATCTAAATAATCTGTGCGCTTGATACATAAATGTGGATTTTTTGCCACATACAAGTCTTTTTTAAGATTTCCATTTCATATATGGTGGAGGTCCATCAATCCCTTGCTATACAGATAATATTGTTGGGTCTTTATTATGGCTATCTTAATTCAAGCTTAAAATGCACCTACTCTGTTACGTTGTTCTAAGATTTAAGGTACCTAGCCTTTAATAAATAGCAATAGGCTAATGGGTAACTGCAAGACTTGTAAGACTCTTGCTGCAAGACCAAGACCAAGACCAATACCAAGAGTGCCATAGCAAGACCAAGCCAAGACCAGATGTATTGGCGAAAGACCAAGACCAAGACAAGTCTCGTCTTGTTCTTGCATTTGGGTAACACTAATTAAAGAACTCAAAGTATTCTTTGCAATTTTACTGATCTCTGGTTATTCTCAAAGGCACAGAAAAGATGTGTATTTGTGTTTTGGATTTGGATCTGAGAAATGAAGCAATGTAATGTAGAGGAATAGATTTAGATAAACTTTACAGAATTTACATTTTTCAGATAACACTCAGCTATAAAAAATGATAAGTTTGCTAAAGTATAACCACTTATAGAAAATTTAAACAAATAATTTATAAAATATGTGTTGGTTGGCGAAACCATACCAATATCTGTTGATGGGCCATATTGAAGCCTATTAGATATGGGTTTAAATTTTGGTATCAGAATGTATCAAATGGTTATCTTGTGCGTACCGAACCTAACCTAGAAAAAGGAACCTTATTAGGAGAGAGTAACTTGGGACTAGATGGGTCTGTAGTTACAACTTTTGCCGAGAGGGAGAAGCATACCTAATTTTGCAGATAAAAAATTTTACAATTTTTTTGGAAACTTTTTTACTGGACTTCTAGTAATAAGGGCCATGAGTGAATTATGGTATAGTTACACCGGCACCATTAGACTTAAGAGAATTAAAAAATGCCCATTGAATAAAAATGCAATGAAAATTGTAAAAAGTGGCTTCAAATTTCTATGGCGTTTATCCTACAAAATAGGTACGTCGTTATTCTGCAACAGAAAAAAAATATATAATGATAGACTTTTCCTATGTAATTTAGCCGTATAATACTGAAATGGTAGGTACTAATTTAATGGATAGAAATATCGCTAACCTAGACCAAAACTGCGTAACAATAAATGGTGGTGGCAAATTTTTATACACCTTTTGTCTGCTACAATCTCTAACGCATGGATTTATATATAATTCAACTTTTATATAAAATTTGTTGAAAGTATACGTCCATTGGATTTATTAGAGTTTAAATGAAACATTGTGACAAAATATCTTCTACTCAACCTTCCACAACCAAAATCAGATGAGACAGAGTTAGGAATATAATATTGAAAAATTCCAGTATCTAAGTATTGTTCTGAAGCTATTTTCT